ATATATATATATAACTTATAAACCTGGCAAAAAAAATATTATTATTATTTTTAAATTGGTATTTTTAAATATAATTAAGACTTTTTTTCGCTGCATATACGCAATACATTGTAAAAATATCCTTTAAGGACTTCATTTAAAAGGTTATCAACTATGTTTGGAACTATTATCTTAAATGCAAATGCATATATTATTGAGTTAGGGGTCGATGTAGTTAAATACGCAAATTTTTAAAAATTTCAGCATAGGTCTTTGCGAAAAAACATGCATTCAAAATGAAATTCTACTTTTTTCTCTTAGTCTGCTGTTCAAAACATGTGTGCTGTTCAAATCATTAACACTCGCGAAAAATTATAGACAATTATTTTAAAAACAACATGACATATCGGGTTTAAGGTGGTGTGAAATGGGAAAAGAAATCTGGCTTCAAGATGAATATTTAAGGACTAGAACTCATCAGTCTCTCCACTGTTATCACCATGCACAAAAACTGCTACAACTTTGTAAAAAATTGAAGTACAAACAAAATTGAGGCATCTTTTAGAAAAATAAGAGTACAGGGATTCTAAATTTATAATAAACTAAATTTAGAAAATGTTGTACAAAATCGTGTTTTTGAACTAGTCAGGAGGTCTTATATAAAATAGAACCAAGGTGTTACCATATTGGTGTCTATAGTTATAGAGCTGGTCTGTTATATTTAAATAAAAAAATCTAATAAAAAAATTAATACATTTAATATGCAATGCGCAAGAAAAGAAGAAAAAATGGACCAACCTGATTTTTGATCTAATAATTGGATCTTTTCGTTCTAGGACTCAATGGCCCGAAGGGATGACCTCAAACATGCTAATTAATAAGAGCAGACAATATTTTAAGTTACGAAATCAGAGCCAAAAACGTACTTTCACTGAATAAACATTCCTTTTTTTCGACATATTCGGATTTCTGCCCCCCAAAATATAGGGTGTAGCCGACATCTGAGAAAAAAGGTCCCAATAGTTTGGTCGGTAGAGCGCTCTTAAGTTTGGACCCCTGAATGTTGATTTTAACTTTCTACGTATTCCACTATATCTCGAGAACTTTTAAAGTGAATTGAAAAATGTTTGCACAAAATTAAAAAATTCGTTTTTCCAACGATAATTCCATGCAATAAATAATTCTAAGTAAATATGTGCCATTTTTTATTTTATTTTATTTAATAATGGTAAAAAAAGTTTTGAGTTGTAAGGTATACAGTTTTTAACAGCATTTTAACAAACACAATTCTACATTGCAAAATACAAAATTTGTGCAAAATCGGTTGTATAGTTCCTGAATAATCGAATTTTAAATATCTGACTTTTTTAACATTCGATTTTTCAGGAATTATTTAACCAATTTTGCTAAAATTTTGTATCGTGCCGTGTAAAATTACATACATTAAAATGATGTAAGAAATTGTAAGCCTTACAATTCAAAATTCTTTCGACTAATATTTGATAAAATAATAAAAAATGTTTGTTAAAATTTATTTTTTGCATGCAATTATCTTTGGATAAACAAATTTTATAATTGTGTGCAGAAGTTTCTTGAGATACAGCGAAATACGCAAAAAGGGAAATTAACATGAAGGGGTGCAAACTTTGGAGCGCTCTCTTGACCAAAATATTGGGACCCCATTTCCCAGATTGCGGCTACCCCCCCCCAGTAATTTGGGGGTCAAAAATCCCAGTCCATCGAAAAAAATGAATGTTTATTCAGAGAAAGTAAGTTTTTGTATCTGATTTCGTAACTTAAAATATCATTTGCACTAATTAATCCCCATATTTCAGGTCACTCTTTCAAACCATTAAATTCGTGTTCTAAAACGTGAAGATCCGATCATTAGATCAAAAGTTAATCGGTATGGTCCTATTTTTATTTTGCGCACTGTCCATTATCACGGAAGCAAACAGAAAGAGTCGTATATTGCTTTCATTTCCAGAGGAGCTTTGAAAGTCTCTTTTACCGAATTTCGGTAATGAATCATGGTAAAAAGAGCACCGGAAGAAATAACTCAGAAAATATCATCGGGAAAAAAAGACTGAAAAAAAAAGAAAAAAAAAAGAAAGAAAAAAAAAAGCCCCTCATTAAAGATTACATAAATTTATTGTCTGACTCAAATCGAGCCATTGATTCCAAATGTTGGCAATTTTTTGGATGGTAATTAGATAGTTTTTAAAAAATTAAATATATGAAGTTTAATTAATATACGAATTTCAGTTTGAATTCGACTGGAATTTTTTTTTGATACTTTATTTATTTGAAACCAATTATATAATATTATTATAAATAACGTACCAATTTACAATAGTTTCCCCAAAATTGATCTTTCGATTAGTCAAAAAGAATTTAACTGAAATGATGAAGTATTTCAATTTATGCAAATTTTTAAAAAAATAATTAGTTGAAAAAGAATTATTTGTATATTATTGTTATATCACAATATAGTGAGTGCAATTATAGAAATTTAGAGCAATTTTGGAATTGTTTAAGAGTTCTAACCATTTTATTAAGAAGTATAAAATGGAGCAATTTTAAATGAATCCTTATAAATTTATTATTTTCATTCGAATAAATGTGTAATTACATTAAAATTTTGCACAAAGTCTAGAATTGAATCGTTTATTAAATTCTTATATTTACTGACGAGATGCTCTTTTTTCTGCAGCCCTTTTTTCCCACCGACTTAGGGTAATAGAGATCATCCCAAAGCATGGACACTAACATGGAGTGTTATTTTTTCGGTTTTAACATCATTTTGCTTGACGATCAAATGAATAGAAAATAGGGAAAATGAAACAGAATAGATAATCTAGTTTTTTAGAAGTTAAAAAGTAATAATAGTATTAATAAAAATATTAAAAAAAACTCACCTCAAGAACGAAATTGATGCTTGCCATTCTGCTTACATCAGCTTATAAGAAGAAAAAAAAGAAGAAAAAAAAGTGAAAACTTCAAAACATTGATCAAGTTTTATGTAGCAACGATATTTCACTTACTTCAGTGACGAAATCAAAATTTTCTCTTTATTGAAGTCAGGTGTATTATCGGCTTTTTATAAAAAGTTCAATTCCAACGATCGAAACATAATTTTATGAATAATATATTACTGTTAATTACAGAAATTAAATAAAAATTGTTAATTAAATAAATACTTTTTTGACATAACAGAATTCAATAACTTATGGTTAACTAACAAATGGGTTTTTGTTTGCTTAAAATTAAACACATTATAATTGCTTTCAACATTTGGTATGCAATCGCCATTGCAAAGAACAAAAATTTCTTCAATTCGAAACACTGCATACATTTTCTTTGATTAATTAGTTTTTGTGTTTTTAATTTAATTTACAAATTATTCAATTTGAAAATGCCGTTTCAAGTTGGGTGTGAGTGCGAAAATATATACTTGAAACTAAATTTATAATATTTTCGTCTGTAATAATAGAAGATAAACAACAGAGGTAATAAACTATAGATATCGGATAGTTATGAAATAGTTATATAAAATAGATACCGGAAGGAGTTCAAAGACTTTGTCTGATAACTAGCAAGAAAACGAAAATAAATAGGCTGCCCCTCCCCTTTTCTGACAATCAAGTTGTCCAATAAAAGTTTGATTAGTTTTATCAATTTTAAATTTAATTCACTTTATACATTTAAAAGTCATTAAAGTATGTTCGATGAGTTACAGCTTTCTTCGAATATAAAATGAAACAAATACTAAACGAAAGTAAAATAGTCGCTTCTTATTCTTATAAGTTCACAAAAATGGAGGAGTAAAAAAAAAAAAAACCAGGAGCATGAATTTTTTTTTTAAATTCAGCTGACACTATTTCTTTTCTTCAACTATTTTCTTAATTTTTTTAAAATTTCATTTTGATATCTTACTTAAAGCGCCTTTTAAACTATTTCGAAACTGAAACGTTAGTTAACATAAAAAAGTAACGTATTTTTTCATTTTTCATCTATTAATTGTATGATTGTATTTAAATAGATGTAGACCTAAAATTATATGGCAGTATAATCCATAGTTTGTTCATCTTATTATCACTGTAAAATAGAAATTCGGAACTGTAAAATATTTTTTTCTGTATTTCTTTTTACTTCAGTAGTTGAAAAGGTTAATATTTTAAAAATTCAAAATGCCTTAGTGCTACCATCTATTGGAATAAAAGTTAACTACTTATTATTACATTCAAA